TTACTTTACAATCTGCGTCCTCATTTACCCATTCATACAGCACCCTAATATATTGCTACAAAGCTAATTGAACAAATCATTCTAAAGAGACTAATCAGTGCTTTTATCACATTCATACACTGATGGAACACACATTGGAGGCATTGAGGGGTTCAGTGTCTTGCCCAGGGACATTTTAGCATGTGACTGCTGGTGGATTCGAACCCCCAGCTCTTGCATTGGAGGACAACTGCTCTAACCACTCATCCACAGCCACCCATTTAGGTTGCGAAGAGGAAAACTGTACTAAATGTTTCATTAGGCCTGTCACAATAACAAATTTTGCTGGACGATTAATTGTCTCAGGAATTATTGCGATAAACAATAATATTGGTTGAAATTTGACAATAATTAGTAATTATTGTCAAATTTAAGAAGAAATGCTTAATTTGTTTTGAGTGTAGTACCTTTTTTGGCCACCAGATGGCAGTATAAGACTGTTTAAACTTAAGGATGGATAGTGAGGGAGTGCGCAGCATGTCCCTTTAAGAAAAAATGGGAGGGAGGCCCCTTGACGTGACATGAGCTGTCTCGCTTTCCTTTTTTCGTTTCTCAGAATGGCGGACGCTCGGTGTGGTTTGAGCTCTTTAGCATAACATTTTTCTCAGTTTTTAATAAAATAAATCAGTAAAAAGTTCTCAGCTTCTTGTTGCAGAGAAAAACAACTTTTTAGACGAAGGCACGGGTTTCAACCATGAATTTTGGAGCTTCGACAAGACAAAGGTTTCTTTCCCCGAGGTTGGCCTGTTAGCTCGTAGCTTAGTTTCTCAGCTTAGCTTCTTTTAACTGTCCAAAAACGCGATTTTGGACAGTTAAAATAGATTTTAAATAGAAAGGGAGGGGCCAGTGAAGAGCACCGGAGTTGAGCCTTTTGTCATCCAGTGTCTTTAGTAGAAAGAGAGAGACACGAAGGATAAAGCCGATAAATTAAAATGAGGTCGATCATTTTCATTCATCATGCGATTAATTGATTTATTGTTTATCGCGACAGGCCTATATTTTAATCACAAATATTCCACATTTTAAAATAATGTGCATCACACTTAACGCTTCTTAAAAATGTTATAAATGTAGCATTGAACACCTATGAAGGTATATTTTATGAACGGCTTCAAATATGCAATAACAAAATAAGTATATTTAGAGATATCAGTTCACAAAAGACATTTGTAGATGTTTTGTCTTTTGTATTTCTGTAAACTTTTTTCTTAGTTTTGAGTTATAATTCTTACTTAGGGATGGTATTATGTAGAACTATTGTAAATGAAAGAACATTCATCCATCCATTATCTTTACCCGCTTCTTCCTTTTTGGGTCGTTGGAGTCGTTGGTGCCCATGTCCAGCTATCACTGTTTGAGAGGCGGCCATCTTGGACAGGTTTCCTGTCCATCACAGAGACAAACAAGACAACCATTCACTGTCACTCACACCTAGGTACAATTTAGAGTTACCAATCATTCATTCATTCATTCATTCATTCAACCTTTATTTAGGAGCCTCGAGGTCTCATTTACAAGAGAGACCTGATTTCAACGAAGTGATGACAACAGTGGACAATGACAACAATAGACAATCATAAAAAAGGCATACAGATTTTTTTTTTTTTTTACAGATTAAAATAAGATGGCAAAAAAAAAAGCAAAAAAACAGCTAGATTATACAGCGAATAATAACAGGCGAAGAGTCAGTCTAACATGCATGTTTTTGGTCTGTGGGAGGAAACCGGGGTACCCGGAGGAAACCCACGCATGCACGGAGAGAACATGCAAACTCCACCCAGAAAGGTACCCAAGCTGGGGTTTGAACCAGGGCGACCTGCTCGCTGAGAGGCAGCAGCTCTACCAACTGCACCACCGTGCTGCCCCTGAAAGAATAGTAATTTAAAGAATATTGAAAGTTTTGTCAGATAATCTGTAATTTATTCAGTAAACTGAATCTCAGATTGTGTTCCGTTTAGTGTAGAATTAGACCTGCTATTTTATTTTATTTTTTCTTTGTGGTGTTCTGAGACCTCTTAATTTTTAAATTGGTCTAAATATCTAAATGAATTGAATCATTATAAACCTTAAATTGGCAAAGGCACAGAATAAATTAGTCCTTTTTTTTAAATTCTTCTTCTTATTTTAACTAAACTCATAAAATTGATGCTCTTAATGTTTTACTCCCTTCCTCCTCGTCCAGAAACTATGTAATCATGAAGAAATAAACATAAATTAGCATTATGTGAAGTAACAGATTATTTGTTTTGTTTTAGCGATAATTATTTTTGAGTATTTTTTTTTCCAACTCGACGAGTGGAAAGAAAATTACCTGATTTCAAGAGAAGACACATTTCTCATCAGAATTCTTGGCAGTCCTGCTCATCTACATTCTCTCCAGATCTGAACAGCACATCATCAGCGTGGCACAACATTGTTATAATTACAATTTCTCCTCATCTCTTGCTTCCAGCCCTCGAGGGGCTCCATATGTTGTCATGTTGGACACTCCTCACTTCGCTCTTCTCATTCCCTCCTCCTCCTCTGCTCTTCAGCCAAATAGTTTGACGCAATTAATATTGTCTTTTTTTTTTTTTTCTACACTCATCTTCTGCTAGTTTTCTTTTTCTTTTCCCATTTTCTTTTTTTTAACCACTTGATGCAACAGACGTGACGCTTGGGTTCATGCACAACTTGTCCAGTTATCGAGCAATGATAGTTTCAGAACATTGGCGACAAGAACTACAAAGAACGAGAAGGGTTTAGCGTTTTATTTTTTTAAAAGGTATCATCAAAATTTTTCATCGTTTTCAGTTTTTACTATTGTTAGAGCCACTTAAACTTGTTTGTTTACTTTGCTCAATTTGCACGATTTTTTTCAAAAGCCCAAATCTCGATAAAACAAACGAAAAGTATGTTTTGCTGAACCATTTCAGATTTGTTCACGTGGATAGAGCGGGACTCGAAACTTGCACCAGAACATGTCGCTCCAACGTCTGATCCAAGTGTTTGTGATCCGTGTGTCAGCTCTGGAGGCAGTCGCCTTGTTCCACAACGGATGGGTCAGACTTTTAAGACACACTGGTCTTATTTTTAATAACCTTTATTTAACACCAAAGCCCATGCTCAATAATCCAGGTAAAAATCCAGCACTGTTCAGCCAGGTCATCTGGACGGTTTCTTTCTCCGAGATGTTTCGTCCTTCATCCAAAGGACTTCTTCAATCTGAGGAGCAAGCCACCATACAAACTGATTTACAGAAACAGCATCCATAGTGGAGGGGGGGGGGGAGAAAGAACCTTTATTTTACCAGGCAAATCCCACTGAGATGACGGATCTCTTTTGCAAAGGAGACCTGAGGGCAGCCTGACATGCAGGTGTTGTTGGACTGTGGGAGGAAACCAGATGATAAAACCCACACAAACATTAAAACCCAAACTGGAGATTGACCCCAGGACCTTATTGATGTGAGGCAACAGTGCAAACCACTGAGCAGTCGTTCTCCCCGTGTCCGTCTTGGGTGTAAAGTCAGTGAATCATTGTTTCAAGGTTGTTCCAAGACATTTTCATGTCTCTCTCTTTATAAAACACAGTGAGTGCTCCTGTAATATATATATA